GCTTGTCTGCAATAATAAAACCACGTCATGTCTTCTTTTGGGAGGGAGAGAGTCGATGGCAGGAGGGGGTTGTGGGTGGGCCACTGAAAAGGGGGACCGAATAGGTTGTGTGGTGAAATTCTCCTGTGTCTTGGAACTGGAATTGAGTTTCGATGTTGATGAACTGATTCAACCAGGTGTTGAAGGCACGACGGCCACTGGTCTACGAAAAGGCAGAGTATGTTTTTCCCTTCTGGTTGTAACCTGGTTGAGAGCTTCCCCTTTATCAGATTGGCAGCTAAGCAGTTGTATTAGATAATCCTCAAATCTGACATCCAGCCTGTTACGCTCTAGGGCTTGCTGCTTGGCCTGCGTTTGCTTTTTATTGTGTATTCATTCCCCTCCTACAGTGTGCTCCTAAATGAAGGTTTCTATGTAAGCAGATGATGATTTTACCTGTCAATACCAGCACTGTATTACTAACTTGCAAAATACTGCAGATTTATTTTGAAAATTAAAGTTAACCAGTCACAAATGTTATGATGGATTGCTTAATACCTCAGAAGCTTCATCAGTTTGCTCTGAACATAGGGAAATGTTTGAAGTACTGTCTTTTCAGGTGTGCACATCTCAGTACTGGGCTGGAGGGAGGGAGGGGCCATTATCAGGCTGGTTGGAGGGTGGAAGGGCACCAGACTGACTGCCCTTGGTAGGTGCACCCTCCCAAGCAGCCCGGGTAGGCCTGGATGCAGTGACCACAGGTTTAGGTCCCTGTCCTATCCAAAAGAGAAGATGGGTTTAAAACCTTCCTTCTCATGCTCTAGGACCCAATTTCCTTAAAGGGGCTTTAAGCTGAGTCCCTTGCCCATTTGTGTTCAACTAGATTTGTTAGATGTCCAGTGAGGACCAACAATGTGCCAGGCACTGTTAGGCATTAAGGGGCATGAAAAAGTGATTACAACACTGTTGCTGCCTCCAAGGAGGCTGTTAGGGGAGCTATGACGAGTGATGGTATCACCAGACAGCGAATCAGGATGAATGTCACACTTCGTTCAGTGAAAAAGTTTTGGATGCCTACATCTGTTTTATATAGAATTGAGGCTTTCCAAACTTCCTGTGATAATTGCTTTAGTCTCTTTATTGACTCTGAACACAGCTGGAGGAAAGTGTTCTTCGTGCAGTTTTTGTCCTGGGAACAAGGGAAGTGTTATTTCACTGAGTTGCTAGTTAATCATTCCAGTCCCAGCTGTACAGGTGTCTCCACTCGTCTCAAGGGGCCCTGTAGTTTGGTCCTCTCTAAACAGACCTGGGTTTAGGATGTAGAGGGGATAGTGGAAGTTTTCACTTCAGTATCCTCAAGGATCACAGGACAAAAAGTCCAATCTGTTTAAGGGACAGTAATCAATTTTGCCTCCCTGCCCTGATAGGTCTGGCCCTCAGTCTTGCACTTTTTCCAATTCCTCCTTAAAGAGTCTTGTAGCCTGAAAGAATGCCATTTGTCCTGGATTTGGATCTATAAATCTCCCCCACAGCTGGCCTGACATTGACAGATTACTGGATAACCTCCCCTTGTGAAAATAGGCAGCTGGCAGGTTAGTGTATAATGATCCAGGGCAGAATACTGAGTTTGTGCGTTAGTCCAGACTCCAGCTTCTCCTGGCTGCCCACCTTTGAGCAATCTAAGGCCCATGTAGTTTCCAAGAAAGGAATGAAGGGTCACGGGCTTTCCTTTGGATCTTTGCATGATGTAGCCCTCTCCTTAGATCTACCCATTAGGGGTTGGCTAGTTAGCCTTCCTCTTCCCAAGATAGGTACTTGACCTAGATCTTGGCCCTGGACCATGAAGGTAAGTACACATCACTTTACAAAAACCACCTTGGATCACTTGAGGCCAGGAGTTCAAGACCAGCCTAGCCAACATGGCAAAACCCTGTGTCTACTAAAAATACAAAAATTAACCAGGCATGGTGGTGCATGCCTGTAGTTCCAGCTACTCAGGAGGCTGTGGCACAAAGATTGCTTGATTGAACCTGGGAGGCAGAGGTTGCAGTGAGCTGAGGTTATGCCACTGCACTCCAGCCTGGGCGAAAGAGTGAGACTCTGTCTTAAAACAAATGAACAAAAAACTGCCCTGATAATTTTTACCATGACATAAGAGAAGGAAATTTCATACATCAGATTCTCTATCACTACTGACTTGCATCATAATTTTGGAAATTTTCTTCATCCCTAATTATTTTAAACTGATATCCCACTCCCTCACAACCCCTAAATATCTCTTTCAAGATTATATAAAATAAGAACTTAAAATCACGACTCCTTTGTAATGTAACTGCTAACCATGTATGAAGAGCTCTCATTAATGGAGTTTCCTCAAAGTGAGGTCCACCTGCATCTGGCTGTGTCAGAAACTAAAGAAGGACATTTGAGGAAAATGTTCTGTTCTGTCAGTGAGCTATTCTTTTGGCATGACAGCTGAGAGAATAAGGAGATCAATGGGAATGAAAGGGAGGGATATGCCCATCCAGTGACTGGTCCAGCAGCTCTCTCTGGCAGTCAGTGCTGAGGCTAGGCTGGGACAGATGCACCAATTCTAGAGGCTCCCATGGAAAAGAGAGCCAGAATCAAAGACTGGGATGGGAAGCCAGGTCTTTGCCAATCTTAGGGACAACTGAGGACTGCCAGGAGCATATTGTCCCTGCAGAGTCAGCCAGAGAGATCTGTTTTGAAGGAGCCTGGATCCCCAAGGCCCTTGCTCATGAGCCAAGGGATTCTTATCTTTGTTAGTAGTAGGAAAAGAGCTAGAGAGAAATCAATCTTGCATGTGTACGAAGGAAGCAAAGGGGGAGTCTTGGAGGTTAGGAAGGGGCTAAGGAAGGGAAAAGAGACATTTTGGAGGAAATGTCCTTGTGCTCTACCTGCAGCAAAACTCCCACCCTGACCAGCCTCTCCACGCACCTGCCCTGGGCTAGACATGATTACTCAGAGGCCTCGGAGACAGGCTGCTAGTCTGAGCCAGCTGTGATGATTTCTCTTTCAGCCAACAGGCAGGAAAGAAGACATGCTTTTCTTGACCAAATAAAGGAGAAAAATCAGTAGCTGAAGAAACCGGCAAGATTCAAGTATTAGGAGTGGGGACCTGTGAGCCGCTTCTTACTGGAAGAAGTGTGGTCCCACCCTTTCCTGAAATCTCAGCGCTCTGTCCCAAAAGAGCAGGTCCTGATTCCAGGGCAGCCCTTTCACCGTATGTAAGTTCTGTCACTTTGTCAATGCCAGAAGCTCTGTGACTATCAGGGACCTCTGAGGGAGAAGAGTGGGGAGGGGGGAATCTTGGGGAAGAGAGAAGGAGACAGAGTCATTGCTTATGCTGTTTTCTAGGCCTAGAATGCCCTCCCTATAATCAGCCCTCCAACATTCTTTCTCCACTGTGAACCTCTAGACATGCAGAAAGTGTAATTTAAATGTTGCTTCCTCTGAAACCTTCCCCTACCTGAACTAACGTCAGGCAGTTAGTCTGTTCTTCCTTGGTATAACAGGAGCAGGTTGGAGATATCAAAATAAAGGTAGAGGCAGCTTAGCACCCCCAGAAGGGAGGCTAGTTTCCAAATTGGACTGTAGCTTCCAAAAGTTTTGCCATATCCCTAAATTTCTGATTCCAAATTAGTGGGTCCATGCCAGCCTGTGATTGTTGCTGATTTTGCTCTGTATTGATGAATCCCAATATCCAGGAGGAACAAGGAACCAAGTACCTTGAAGGAACCAAGAAATAGGAGTAAGCACCAGGTAAGTGAGGAGGGCCCCCAGGGGATCCAGAGCAGAGGGAGATTTGGCATAAGGAACAGCTGGGAGGTGCTGTAATTCAGGGTTATGGTCAAGAGCAGAGACTTGGAATCTGACAGGCCTGAGTACAAATCCAAACTGTGCCACTTGAAGTTATATAACCTTCAGCAAGATACGTAGCCTCTCTGCCCTCAGTTTCTTATGCTGTAAAATATGGATGAAAATAAATCCAACCTAGTCAAGTTTTGTTTTGTTTTGAGATGGAGTTTCCCTCTTGTTGCCCAGACTGGAGAGCGATGGCGTGATCTTGGCTCAATGCAACCTCTGCCTCCTGGGTTCAAGCGATTCTCCTGCCTCAGCCTTCAGAGTAGCTGGGATAACAGGCACATAACACCACATCCAGCTAATTGTTGTATTTTTGGTAGAGGCAGTGTTTCACCATGTTGGTCAGGCTGGTCTTGAATCCCTGTTCTCAGGTGATCCACCCACCTTGGCCACCCAAAGTGCTGGGATTACAGGCGTGAGCCACCATGCCGGCCCTAATAAAGTTTTAATCTAATGCATGTAAAGGGTGTAGCCCGGAGCCTGCTACAGAGGATGGAGCCTCGAATTCAATGTAGCCCATGTCCATCTGGGCCTCCTATTTCCAGTCTGGGTCATGGCAGCATCACTTTGTGCAAAGGCACCAATTGTGTCCTTGACAGACCTGCAAAGGAGCTGAATTGTCTTCCTGCATTGCTTTCTCACTTCAGATTTTGGGGGTTGGCATCCAGCATGGGGAACCAGAGCTTCAGCTGAGCAATGAAAAAATGAGACGGATGAGACACCTCCTGAAAAGCAGCTAATTGAAGGCTGGCCAGAGGAGTGGCAGGGAGGGCTCAGGTTAGACCAGGAAAGAGTCATCAGGCTGGGAGACCTGATGATGTGCCTATCGGGGATGGTGCATCCTACTTCGGAGAGGTTATTCCATTCCCTTCATTCCCCACACTCACTATAACCAGAGAAGGCGCCTGTGCAGCTTCCCCCTGCAATCCCACCGTCTTGACAATCAAAGAGTTTGTTTGTCCTTCTCTAGCTGCAAGCTCAGCACAGGCCTGACCTCATTCCTTCCTAAGAAGAAAAAGAGCACCACCACTTATCCAGGTGGGATGAGGGAGAGAAGCCCAAATCCTTCTAGCCCTCTCAGTACAGAGCCAGCCCTCACAGCTCCACCTTCCCTCCCTAAGGCGTCGGGGACTCACAGATCCGAGAGAGGAGCCAGCCCCAAAGGGCACAAGGCAAAGGCGAGTGTTACCATGTCTGTATCGGTCACCCTGCTGCGAAGCCCAAACTGCTTGGCCTGGCATTTGGTGTCCCCCGCCATTTGGCCTGATCCACCCTGCCGGCCTTCTGGCCTCCTCTCTTTCCTCCCACGGTTTACTAAGTCGGAGCCAGGGCTGGTGGGGAGCCGAGGCAGACAAACAACTCTTGGGCGTGTAGGCCCTGCCCCGACTAGAGCATCGGCGGGCCGGGATTGGCTGGTATCTCCCGCGTTCTGATTGGGCTGGCGGCGGCCTGGTTCTCATTCACAGAAAGCACTGCTTCTCTCCTGCTGGAGCTTGGACCTCGAATGCTGCTTCACTTTCTGCACTCTGCACAGTAAAGTGTACTCATTTTATGTAAATAGATACGATTCAGTTCTATGGTTTCCGCAGATGACGTGCCCCCAAATGCCGTGTTGGCCCCTCAGGGATGGCTGCATCTGTCCGTTTACTGTATCCCATATCCAAATCACAGCTGTGCGAGTGAATGGGACCAGGCTTATGGGAACTGTGAGGGCTGCGTTTTGCATACCCAGGTGAGGCCACGGTTTTGTTTGTTTGTTTGTTGAGATGGAGTCTCTCTCTGTTGCCAGGCTGGAGTGCAATGGTGCTATCTCAGCTCACTGCAACCTCTGCCTCCCAGATTCAAGCAATTCTCCTGCCTCAGCCTCCCGAGTAGCTGGGACTACAGGTGCATGCCACTATGCCCAGGTAAGTTTTGTATTTTTAGTAGAGACGAGTTTCACCCTGTTGGCCAGGATGGTGTCGATCCCTTGACCTCGTGATCTGCCCGCGTCGGCCTCCCAAAGTGCTGGGATTACAGGCGTGAGCCACCGCACCCTGCGAGGCCACAGTTTTATCTAGCGAGACCTTTTGCTGGGTTAGGCTTTCATCCACTTTCGCAGGCACCAGTCCTTTCTACCATTTACACTTTTATTTCATATTTCTTTGTCCTTTTTTTCCCAACTTCCTACTGATTTGCAATTTCTTTGTCTATAATCATGCTGTTCCATATACTAGGAAAGCTTTCTTCTCATTCACCTACTTTTAGAATGTGGCTGAAGTTCCTGCTCACTGGGACCCCTGGAGGAAAAGCCGATTGCAGGGTTTCGGCAGGCGAAACACAAAGTGAGCCGGAACATTCAACATATATTTGGAAACAACTGCAAACTAACAAAAAGTTGCAAAAGTGAAAATAGTACAAGAAATACCTTTACACCCTTTACCCAAATTCACCTATTTATTTATTTATTTATTTTTATTTATTTTTTTAAGTTCACAGAAGTTTCTTACTACCCAGCTTCTGAAGTCTGACATATTCACCTATTTATTAACATTTTATCCCTTGCTTAATCACATATGGGGCTTAATCCAATTTTTTTTTTCTGAACCATTCTAGGGTTTCATACATCATAGCTCTTACCCCTAAATATTTCGGTGTGTATTTCCTAAAAATAGAGATATGCTGTTACACCACAGGACAGTTATTAACTTTACACACTTACATTTATATAATACTTTTTTTTTTTTTTTTTTTTTTTAGATGGAGTCTCGCTCCGTAGCCCAGGCTGGAGTGCAGTGGCTCGATCTTGGCTCACTGCAACCTCTGCCTGCTGGGTCCCGGTTCAAGCAATTCTCCTACCTCAGCCTCCCAAGTAGCTGGGATTACAGGCATGACCCACCATGCCCAGCTAATTTTTTTTTTTTTTTTTTCTAGTAGAGACGAGGTTTCACCATGTTGGCCAGTCTGGTCTTAAACTCCTGAACTGGTGATCCTCCCACCTTGGCCTCCCAAAGTGCTGGGATTACAGGCATGAGCCACCGCACCTGGCTATAATAATATTATTTAATCTCCCATCCTTAATCTAATTCTGTTAGTTGATCTATGTCCTTCATAGCATTTTCTGCATTTCAGTAAAAGATCTAGTCTAGGGTCAGGTTATTTCATCCCCTTCATTCCCCACATTCACTACATACAGAGAAGGCATCTGTACAGCTTCCCTCTACCATCTCACCATCCCGACTATCAAAGAGTTCATTCTTCTCTAGCTGCAAGCCTAGCACAGGCCTGACTCCTCTTTCCTTCCTAAGAAAAAAAGGGTGCCGGGCACAGTGGCTCACACCTGTAATCCCAGCACTTTGGGAGGCCAAGGTGGGAGGATCACCTGAGGTCAGGAATTCGAGACCAGCCTGACCAACATGGAGAAACTCTGTCTCTACTAAAAATATGAAATTAGCCAGGTGTGGTGGTGCATGCCTGCAATCCCAGCTACTCAGGAGGCTGAGGCAGGAGAATCACTTGAACCCGGGAGGCAGAGGTTTCGGTGAGTCAAGATTGCTCCATTGTACTCCAGCCTGGACAACAAGAGTGAAACTCCACCTCAATAAATAAATAAATAAAAGAAGAAGAAGAAGAAGAGGAGGAGGAAGAAAAGGGGCACCACCACTTTAGGTGGTGGATGAGGGAGAGAAGCTCAAAAAATCCTTCTAGACCGATCACTCTTGAATTATGATGTCTCTCTAGCCTCCTTAAATCTGAAATATTTACACAGCTGGCATTAAAAAAAAATACAGACCCCTGCCTTACTTTATTTTTATTTTTTGAGACGGAGTTTCACTCTTGTTACCCAGGCTGGAGTGCAATGGCACAATCTCGGCTCACCGCAACCTCCGCCTCCTGGGTTCAGGCAATTCTCCTGCCTCAGCCTCCTGAGTAGCTGGGATTACAGGCACGCGCCACCATGCCCAGCTAATGTTTTGTATTTTTAGTAGAGACGGGGTTTCACCATGTTGACCAGGATGGTCTCGATCTCTTGGCCTCGTGATCCACCCGCCTCTGCCTCCCTAAGTGCTGGGATTACAGGCTTGAGCCACCGCGCCCAGCATTTTTAGTGGAATATTCTCCAGTTTGTGTTTGTCTGGATTTTCCTCATGATTAAGATGAAGTTCTACATTCTCAGCAGGAATACTGCATAGGCCACGTGTCCTCAGGATATCACAGCTGGAGACACACAATGTCCCTCTGTCCTTCATAGATGATGTTAACTTTGATCATCTGCTCAAAGTGTTACCCATTTTCTCTACCACATAATTACTTTCCTCTGCCCTTGCAACTAATAAGCAGTCCGTGGAAGACATTTAAAGACCATCTGTATATCCTACTCCTCACCAAAATTTTGTCTTAGATTTAACATTTATTGATAATCCAATTAAATCTTTACCATGATGGTTGAACTGTCTCTTTGCACAAGAAGTAAAGAAGTGCTCAAAGATGAGGATGAAGCAGCAGAATGCCAGGAGCTGGCACATGGCCAAGTCTGAAACAATCTAAGCCAAAACAGTTAATGATAATAACAAATGATACACAATCGAAGGAAAACAGTAATCCATGAGTTCATAAAGAAATGAGTGACTACATCCTCCTGCTGCCTTAAATCTCAGTTCAGCCTTCTTGTGCCTCGGTGGTAGATGTGCCCCTCTATGCTACCATCTCCTGCTGTGCTTCTCAATCTGCCACAATAACGTGACACTTTCCTGACTGTGGAATGGAGCTGAACGGAGTCTTGGGCTCTATCTTCCCTACCCTAAAGGGAGCTCCAGGATCTATAGACTGGAGTGTGAGGCCTGAGGCTGAGGGTCTGGCCCTAGGAACTCAGTCCTGTCACAGCTTCAGGCTCTTTTGCCCCAGAGGGTCAGCCCTGCCTCCAGGAGGGGGTTTCTCTTTTCTCATTTAAAGAAACATCAGAGAAGGGCAAGCTACTCTGAAGACATCAGTCAGCCCTCTACAGGGTCCTCCACTCACCACTTTGCTGTGCAACTCAAGTGAGGCTCTTCCTCCAGAGAGTAAGATGTTTTTGCTGTATCCACTAGTGCCCAGAACCCTGTTCAGGGGTCAATAATTTAGTGCCAGCTTCCTTTCTCCTCCTTCCCTGGCCATTGCTGGCCCAGCAGAGGGTCCCTCCCTCCAAGAAGGGAGGATCCTTCCCCAGGACACTAGGACCATACGGCTCCTCCACCTGCAGCACCTGCTCCCCAAGTCCCACACAGGAATATTCATCCTGCTCCACCCACAACTTCCTCTGGGGAATCTTCATTTCTGGGAAGAATCAGATCTGAGCATCTAAACCAAATTGATCTCAGGTATCCCTTCTTGGAACTGGAAGAATGACAATAAGAAAAACAGGCGTCATTCGTTGAGTATTAGCATGATGAGGAACAAGCCAGTATAATGCTCGTGCACACCTGTAGCCCCGGCTACTTGGGAGGCTGAGGCAGGGAGATCACTTGAGCCCAGAAATTTGAGGCCAGCCTGGGTAACATTTTAGAGACCCTTGTTTCTAAAAAAAAAAAAAAAAAATGGCCTCAAAGAAAGAAAGAAAAAAAAAAATAGAGTGATGAGGAACAGACTCTGCAGCCAAACTCCCAGGTCTGCAAAAAAATGGGCAAGTTTACTTAATCTCTCTGTGCCTCAGTTTTCCTGTTTGCAAAATAGGGCTAATGGCCATACATACCACTGGATTGTTAAGGAATAAATGAGTTGGCATATGTAAATGTTAACTGGAACATAGTAAAATTATGTAGCGGTGTGTGTGTGTGTGTGTGTGTGTGTGTGTGTGTGTGTGTGTGTGTGTTTCCTTTTTGTGGAGAACGGGGTCTCGCTATACCACCCAGGCAAGTCTCAAACTCCTGGGCTCAAGCTATCCTCCTGCCTCTGCCTCCCTAAGAGCTGAGATTACAGGCGTGAGCTGCAGCGCCCGGCCACATGTTTGTTTTTATTACTGTTGTTGTTATCTCCAGGAGTGGAGTGACATGCATGGGCTCTGGAGTCTGGGGCTGCTGGGTGTGTATCTCGGTTCCACTACTTACTGTGAAACTTGAGGCAACATATTTTCCCTGTGTCTCATTTTCCACATCTCTAATGCCTAGCTCTCAGGGTTTTTCTGAAGATTAAATGAGATAAGATACATACATAGCACCTAAAAGAGGCAAGACACAGTATATATTTTCAAGAAACTTTGTCATTTACTATTTTTTTGTTGTTGTTCTTTTAGGGATAGGGTCT